AATAGACATTTTATACTATAGTTTAAAAACTTGTTATCTAGGTTGCCCATATCATATCTGTAAAAAATGTAATACCCTTTCAAAACATGTTAATTGTGATGGCACCAAACTTAAATTGGTACATTAAAATGATTAAACATTCCAGTTAAGTTTTAGAAAGTTTAACTTTGATCTATGCATTTTTATATTCCAGAGAATGACAGTTTTTATAATACCTTATTACACCAGCTTATGAAAAGATAAAGATTTTATTGAAATTATAAATGACACTATTTTACTTCTGGTATAATTCCTACTTTCATTGCAATGCTATTTAAAGGGTATTCTCTATAAAATAACGCCATATCCTTTAATAGTCTACTTAACAAACGTGATGTGTTTGGGTGTCTGTCTATCTGAGAATGATGTTTTTTCTTGTTGGAGAGGTGAGGGATACTTCTTGACCCTTCAACTGAATTCTACCAAGAGCCCCTGATGAAAAACCCCCTTGTCCAATCAGTTATCCTCGCCTGATGATTCATGTATGCGTGAATACAGTGTTTCTCATTGCACTTTGGGGTCACTGGGGTTTCAGTAGCATGAATTCAACACAATCACCAAAGAATAAGAGGGAGTGTGTGTGTGTGTGTGTGTGTGTGTGTGTGTTTATTCGAGAGAGAGAGAGAGAATAAAAAAAACTTCAACCAAATTTACTGTTTATCTGCTTTATACCTTAGGGCAGGTGTAAGCTTTGATTCAATGCAGTAATTCGCAAACACATTGACATGAGACATTGTTGCGAGAAGTCAGGGACCCCGAACGGAGGGACGGGCTGAAGCCGCAGCAGAAGAACATAAATTGTGAAGATTTCATGGACATTTATTAGTTCCCCAAATTAATACTTTTATAATTTCTTACACCTGTCTTTACTGTAATCTCTGAACATAAATTGTGAAGATTTCATGGACACTTATCACTTCCCCAGTGAATATCCTTGTGATTTCCTATGCCTGTCTTTACTTTAATCTCTTAATCCCGTCATTTTCTTTGTAAGCTGAGGAGGATGAACGTCGCCTCAGGACCCTGTGATTGTGTCAACTGCACAAATTGTTTGTAGAGCATGTGTGTTTGAATATGAAATTTGGGTATGTTTAAAAAAGAACAGGATAACAGTGATGTTCAGGGAACGAGAGAGGTCACTTTGAACTGGCTGCCAGTGAGCCAGACGGAAACAGCTATATTCCTCCTCTTTCATAAGCAAATAGGAGAAATATCGCTGAATTCTTTTTCTCAGCAAGGAACATCCCTGAGAAAGAGAATGGGCCCTGAAGCTAGGCTTATAGACGGCCCCTTTTTAAGGCGTCCCGTTTTTTATGGTCGAAGCCGATGGGATGAAATAAGCCCCGGTCTCCTATAGCGCTCCCAGGATTACTAGGATGGGAAAATTCCCACCTGATAAATTGTGGTCAGACAGGTTATCTGCTCTCAAACCCTGTTTCCTGATAAGATGTTATCAATGACAGTGCATGCCCGAAACTTCATTAGCAATTTTAATTTCACCTCATCTGGTGGTCCTGTGATCTCGCCCTGCCTCCCTTTGCTTTGTGATATTTTCTTACCTTGTGAAGTATGTGATCTCTGTGACCCACACCCTATTCATGCACTCCCTCCCGTTTTGAAAATTGCTAATAAAAACTTTCTGGTTTTATGGCTCGGGGAACATCATGGATCCTGCCGACATGTGATGTCTCCCCCGGACACCCAGCTTTAAATTTCTCTCTCTTGTGCTCTTTCCCTTTATTTCTCAACCCAGCCGAGACACTTAGGAAATAGAAGAGAACCCACGTTAAACATCAGGAGTAGGTTCTCCCAATAAGATATCTTCTATAACGTGGTGTCGTATGGATATAGAGAACAGTTGGTGATAGAATAGATATCAGTCAAGAAACAACAGCAACTCCAGACTCATATGTTTGAGGGGCAGGAAGGGTGAAAAAAAATTGAGGGAACTGATAAAGAATGTACATAATGAGAGCTCATCTCTCCAAAAAAATAAAAAATATTAGCCAAGCATGGT